TCGGCCGACTGCTGCCCCAAGCGGTCGAGCTGCGCTCCCAGGCGCGCGCGGTCCGACGGGCAGCGTCTCGAGGAGCTCGTCCAAGGTGCAGTAGCGCATCGATCTTGCAGGATGGCGAAACCCAATGGGCTAATCCCACGCCATTGCAGGTCCATATCTCGGCACTGCGCCAGATGGTTGCCTGGAGCGGGTTGCGTGTTTTTGGGCACAGGACCCACCGCAAAATCTGAAAGAGTGGCCTGTAACACGATGGTGCTCCTGCAAGTCCTCGCGCGCGCGGCCACGCCGGCCTCCATCCTGCGCTCGATGGCGCCGACGAGCTCGGTGCTTGGCAGCACCGACCAGCGCCGCTGCATGGGTCGCGGTCCGACGATCCAAGGCAAGAAGAGCCTCACGGACGCGGTACGCATGAAGGGCCATACTGGGATGATTGCTCACGCTGCGCCGTCTGTAGAAGCGGACGCTGCTCTTCGGGAAGCTCGCCAAGGAGCTCATGGTCACGTCCAAGCTCACGGCGGGCGACACGAACAACATTGTAGGACGATAGACGCTCGTCTCGAGCTCATGCGGGGCCTCGTAGCGCCTTGCGTCGGTGATTTCCAAGGCCAAGGCGGCCAACATGCCCCGCGACAAGATCGAGTACGCCGTCAAGCGTGGCGTCGAAGGCAAGTCGGGCGTCATCACCGAGACTGTCGAGTACGAGGCCACGGGACCCCACGGCAGCGCCTTGATCGTACTACTGCATCATCTCGCGTCCATCGAGCTCCTATCGCTTGTAGATTGAAGCACTCACAGACAACCGGAAGCGCACGGCGCCAGCGCTGCGCCACATTCTGAGCAAGCACAACGGCAACCTCGGCGCGAACGGCTCCGTCGCCTGGATGTTTGAGCGCAAGGGCTACTTTGAGATCCAGAAACCGGACGACGACGCCTTGGCGTGGGACGAAGAGAGCGTCATGAACTTGGCCGTACGACCTCTTCCCCATCCGTGCTCCGCTCCCATGGTCGTCGTTTTAGATTGAAGCGGGCGTCGACGACGTCGAGTACCGGGAGACCATGGCGCAGGTATATACTTGTCCCCTTCCCAGAGCCTGCGTGACGACGCATTATCCGCTCTAGCTCATGTGCGAAAGCAGCGAGCTCGCGGCAGTGCGCAGCAACCTCATGGAGGCCGGCGTCGTGCCGCAGGTGAGCGAGCTCATCTACTCGCCCAAGGTAATCGTACAATCCACGTCTGTACATCGCATCCCATGCTGTCGTCGCAGGAGTACCTCATGCTCGAAGGGGACGCCAAGGCTGAGTTTGACACGCTCCTCGAGGTGCAATCTGCGCCATCATGTCAAAAAGCATCATGCGGGATGCATGGGCGTAGGCGCTGCAGGACAACGAAGACGTCAACGAGGTCTACCACAACGTCGACGAAGACTAGAACGTCACGAGACGAAGAACAGGCTAGTAAATAAGACGCGCGCGATTACAGATCCACCAGCGTATGCGGCTCGTCGTCGTTGCTGCTACTCGACGCGTCGTCGGGCTCGGGCTCGACGACCTCAAACACATAAATATCCTCGAGCGCGCTCTCGTCCGACGGCCACGTCACGCTGCGGGTCGTGTTGCGCTTGTGCTCCTTGACGACGACGCCCGACATGTCGGCAAATTCCAGCGGGATGCGCGCCTTGGCTTCGGCCAGCTGCCGCTGGAGCGCGGTCTCGGCCGTACGCTTCCGAATGTTCTTGGCGCGCGACGCAATGTCGCTGGCGACGCCGAGCTTGAGCATGCCCCGGGGTCCCTGCGTCTGCTTGTAGCCGCCCAAGAACGCCACCATGTTGGCATTGCCACGGGCTTTTTTTGGCGGCGGCCGGAGGAGCCCGGGCGCGGCCGCGGGAATCAGGGGCGGCGACTTGACGGCGGGCGACTCGACGACGGGCGACTCGACGGTGGTCGTCGGCGTGCTCTCGTCGCTCTCGGCGTCGTCGAGCGCCTTGGCAATGTCCTCCTCCATGGCCGCGTCCTTGGTCGCCGACTCGCGAATGTACGACGAGACCAAGTCGACGTTCCGAAGCGAGCTA